CGGCTCAGGTCCCTCCAACAGCCGTAAGAGGTACGAGCGAAAAGCGCTCCGCGGCTTTCGCTGATGTGAAAGAGAAGCGATACTGGAAACCACGCCCGGTGCCGCCCCATCCTCCTCCCTGTTCCCAATGCCGGACCTGGGCCCGCTGCTGTAGATGAGACTTCCCCGGCGCGTTTGGGTGCGTTATACCTTTCCCTCTTCCTTTCCTTTACACCTCTTTTCCCATCCTGCGCGTCAGTATAGTCGCCTCAACACACTGTGCTCCGGTATCGCGTCCTCCTCCCTTTCTAGGCCCGGTCCTCACCGGGGGGCGGGCTGAGCCGGGCGCGGAGAGCTGGAGCGCCCGGCGCTGGTTAGGGCCTGAGCCCGACCTTGCTCCTGAGGAGACGCGAAACCCGGCGCTGCCCATCCTCCTGAAACTTTTTTATCTTGCAGAGCGGAGTTTCCGCTCGCTTCATTTTGAAGTGTGATTTAAAATGACGCAGTTAGAAAGTTGCGCGAAATTTGTATAAACTCCCTACGGTAAACCCAGTTCTAGTTTGGTTATTTGATTAGGAGGACTGGGGTGTTAAACTAGTATATCTCGAAATGGAAATTAGCGCGGTCATGACTAGTTTACACCGAGAACAACCTATTTAAGCCTAATACAGTAATGAGAAATGTGAAAGTTTGTGCGGGGTTTCCCTGTATCTCGTAACAAATCCTTTTTCTTTTATAGGGAAATGTGAAATTTGTGGAGCGTGCTCCAAACAATTCAACACTTTGAAAAATGCCAGATGACGCAGACTCAAAATGCAGTTAATCTTTGTGTGATTTCACCACCTCTACCTCTTCAAACAAGGCAGAGCAGAGGAAGGATAAAATGCAGTTAGCGTCTCCTGTAGCAAAGTAACCTGCTCTCCCCCTAGCATAGGGGCTTCCCTATGAGCTCATCCTGTGGAACAAAGGTCATTTTCCAACCCATGATGTTATATCCTGTTTTTGCTGCTGCAGGGATGGTTGTGAAACATTCAAGAAACAAATGCGGTCAGAAATTACAGACTCAGTGTGAAATGTTCCCTTGCTTTTCTTAAAAGACCTTCCTTCTTAATAAAAGGCCTATTATGTTGATTTATCACATTTTGCCTTGATAATCACATTGGTATTTGTATATTGTGCAGCATTTGTGTTGCAGTCATGGGAACAAGGGTTTCATGCATGATATTAAACAGCAAAGAAGCCTTGTGTGCCAAGTTTTAGTATGTTATTTCCTGCTCATTGGGGAAAAAAAAAAGAAGAAAAAAATCTGTTCCTGATTTTGGTTGTATTCTGTATGGACTGGGGGCAGTGTGAAAGAGTTCAAAAATTGGAGTATAACTAACTTTATTACCCTCATACAGATATTTTTCTGTCTGTTTTAGTGTGGAATGGAAATTATATGTGGTCTGAGGAGTAAATATGCTTGCTAATATTCTCAGGTGTTTACCTTAAAAAATTCCTTCTTGTGAACCTTGTTTACAGTGTAATACCCAGGGTCAAAAGTCAGTGCAGACTTAGACAAATATGCCTGTGACAAAGGTGGTTTCCTGTGCAGTATGTGAGGAATTCATCAGCTTTAAAATCTTACACTTTGTTCAGGAAAGTCTGAAAGTTAACTAATCCCAGAAACTTGTATTTAAGTGCACTTTGGTACTACCTCCTTGAGATGTGTTTTCTCTCAGACCTCTTTTGGGGACAAGAAGACAGCTGAGTCACCCTAGAATCAGTGATTTTCTTTCCGAAGACCCTAAGACTATTTCCCAGAAGAGTCCTTCTGTGAAAATTTGGGGTGATAGTGAACTAAAATAGCCAGACACAGAAAACTCCCCCCTCACCAGTCATTTTCTGTCAGCGTGCTGGGGGGTTTTCTGGTTCTTTGAATACAGGAGGAAAAAAGTTTTTTGTTGTTGTTCCGTGTGCAGGCCTGCCCCTTTCACTCACTGATGTGACCTTGCAGTATCCTTTTATCTGTCAGTGGTGGTGGTGATGTTAGACTTCAGCTATTTGCAATGATTCTGGATTTCTTATAAATTGGGAATATAAATGAGAATGTGTAGTACTTTTATGTTTCTTTTTTTAACCATCTTCCTGCTCCATAAGCTTTGCATTGAAGTCTTTACTCAATAGATGAAACGTTGAACTGAAGAGGAAAGTCTTGAATGTTTTCTTGCAGCAATATTGGCAAATTACATATGCACATGAACACACAAACTATTGGGGCAGCTTTGTCTCTGATGACTAGGAACTTTTGTCTTTCCTCTTGAGAAGATAAGCTGGTTTTCCTCTCCTCTTTGTAAAGAATTTACATTCAATAACTCTTCTTGTTGCAGGGCCCAGGTAATCTAAATTGAAAGCCAGGATGCTGGGTTTTACATTGTCATTGCTTTTCTCTTTTTCTTTAATTGTTACAGCTATGATAACTGTATCTGTTATGCTTGCAAAAGTGGTCATATCAGATAGAAGGGTGAAGCATGATGCCCTTCACCTTTCATGGTGAAGCGGATGCAGATGGAATGTACCAGCCTTGCCTCAGTAGTGTGACATTCGTGCTGTCAAAATATGGTGATGTGGTTTTTGGATGCAAAGTTATAAACTATTTTAGTTATACTAAGTACTTAGTTCATGTTGCTCTTACTCATTCCACACTCAGAACCCTGGGGGAATGCATGTTATTGCCAAATCACTGTATGTGTGCAGTTGTTTTCCCTTTTATTTGAAGCCTCATTCCTGGTTCATTGGACCAGTTGAATCACACAGAAGAATTCATGATCCTAGGTTGTTTTTCCTTGGTTTAATCCCTACTAAAATTAGGAAGTAGCCCCCAGCAGTCCTTTGTGACATTGATATTTGTTCCACAGAAAACGAGCTGATATAATCAGCTTTGTCTGTGGACCATCATTGGAAAATACTGGATGGAAACCAGTGTGTGCTGGATCTGGATCAGTGATTCTGCAATGGTCAAATGCCAATCTTCCAATGTTCCTGTGGAGAGACTTGCATACAGGTAAGAGAGTTTCAGCACTGGAAGTATTGATAAGCTTTTTTTTATAATGCGCATTCAATTTATCATGTATAAAGGAAGATCACAAAAATAAATAATTCATATGTGTTTTTAAAGGCAGATTATTTTTAAGGTAACATATAAATAGTAATTTTGAATGTCTGAAATTTTAACTCTGTAGGAAATTCCACCAGACACACACACGTGCACACACCTCTTTTTTTTAAACTATTTTTTAAATATTAGATAAAAATCAACTAGAGTATTTTGTTTTAAATAAAATGTTTATCTGAGATGTCTGAAAATGGCAGGAAGTTGTTAAATTCCCATCTCCCTTTAGAATGAGTCATGTTTATGACTTCCTCAAGCTCTTTTGAAAGTCCCAGTTGTAGGTACTTGGGAGAGGCTTTCATGTGAGTGTTTTGTAGCTCCCCCTTCTTGACTGCATTATGCCATGAAAACAGTCTTTGTCTTTCTGTGGAATTCTCAGAAATGTTTGGTGCTAGCTTGAAAATAAGAAGTTAGCAATAAATATGCTTTTCCTCTGATAGAAAACTGTACGCAATGCACTCCAGTGCATGAGGGGTTCCTCTGCTTATCACAGGCCTGAAAATTTTCCAACTGTGCCCTTCCACCCCAGCTGTACAAATGATACCATTGCGGGTCCATGTATGAAATAGAACAGGTTTAAAAGTACAAATACTTTGTCTACCCAGTTTGGTTTTGTTGGAAACAAAACTTTCCAGCTTGCTATATTAAAAATACTGTGGTATTTTGACAGGGTATATGACAGGAGCAGCTTCTACTGATGTTTCATGTCTGTCTGTGAGTTTTTTTGCTGTTTGCACTGCTTACATTAGGGTTAAATGTTGTTACACTTCTTGGAGCAAATGGTATATTTAGTTCTCCCAAGTTCCTAAATGGTGTGATGTGATGAAGGAAAACACTGAAACACTGTGTTTGTGCATGTCCCTTTGGGGTTCTTAAGAATGGAACTGTATCAGAGAAGATAGGTGGTGTTTTTTTCTGGTTGTGTGCTGTAACAGAGTACTGTAATTGTGTGTTTTCTCAAGGTATTGACCACAGTCTGTGTAGAATGCACATAGGAAGCTGTGATGGGCTAAGCAGGGTATCTGCAGCCTTGTTAACTGTCAGCTGCAGTTGTATGTGTGCTTCTGAAAATGAGCCAAAGTGGCCTCAGGACTGTTTTGAGGACTGTTGCATATACATTAGATCTCATTTACACTGGTATGGAAATGCAGGAAAACTTAAGCAGAGTAATGCTTGGGTCTTCTAATGTGGTGGGTTTATGATATTTTACAGCTTGCCTGTGCTGCCCTTCCTTACCTCCCCCTTCTAGTTTGCTTTTGAAGGTGGGACCTTGAGGTCGTAACAGCTACTTGTGTTACATTCCTCTAGTGATTCAGGCATGCTGTCAGCAAGATCAATGGTGCTTTTTTTTTTTTTAAATACCAATGACTTGCGATTGTGACAGTCATCAGCAGTGTTGGAGGAGAAAGCCACTGCAGTCTTTGACTCCATAGAAAATGTCTCACTGGGATAGATGTAGGTAAAAGAGAGTTTGCCCTAGGAACTTGAATTTGAATACGCTCTTTTAGTGGGTAGTGGAACCCAATCCATGGGTTTAATTGAATCCAGCTGTTAATCCTTCTCTGAGGAAAATCAAGTGGAAGTATAGAGCTATTTTTCATTTAAACAGCATTGGAATGAAAAAAAAATTGTAGATGAGTTTATCTTGTCTCCTTAATGCATGGGCACAATATGTTACATTGTTGATTGTGACTTCCAGAATGTGTAACAAAAGGCTGAAAATGCTTCAAAAAATGTTATCCAAGTGCTAGAATTTTTCAGTGTATTAGGCTTTGAAGTTGAATTGGCCTTTGCTTTTCAGAATGGTTTAAACAAAACTATGCAGTATAGTGACTGAACTTCTTTTAAGGGGTAAGATTTGTCTTCAGATTGCTCATTTCACCTTTCTCAGTGTAGTTAGTGGGGATCAAAGAAGGTTAGGTAGAATTTCCATAGTTGGTGGCAGCGGAAATTGCACGTAGCACTCTACTTATTTTGTTAATCACAAGGGTGGGGTTTTTTTCTAGGTTTGAATTTTTATATCATTTTTCAGTGTGGTGAAACATGAATGTCACGTGAAGAAAAAGGTGGTCTGTGGCTTATGTATACCTTCAGAGTTAACCAATTTGTGTACTTAAGGTTGGAATTTTTTCTTTGTGTGGTTCTTCGATCTTTTTGAGCATGGAGGGGATCTGTGGGGAATCCTTAAAACCCCAGTAACCCATTCAGATTGGAATCCCTTTAAATGAAACTATTAAGTAGGAAAACCCACACATCCCTGAATTTATAGATAATTAATCTTTTAAAATATTACATATTATGTTGTGATTATTTCCTTTATTTTGACTTCATTTAAGGTGAAGTGCATGCCTGATAGCAATGATTTTATACCAGGAAGGGGGAAGGGTGTTTAATTCTTTTGTCTACAATGTGTGGTTACACTACCTCTTAGCTCCAAAAGCTCTTCCTGAAAAATGCATTGAGACTTTTTATTAGGGGAGAAAAGGTGGTGGTGAGCAGGGAGGTAGAGGGTTGCTGGCCAGAGATCAGAGCTTTAGACTTAAACTGCTGTGGAACTTAACTCTTATTTCCAGAAATACTTGAAATATCACTCATCAGCAAGCTGATGACTTTTGTTTCACTTCCTATGGAATTTACAGGGTTATGTGAAGGTAATTTTACTTGAAAAAGAACTTCCATTTTTTATGATTAATATGACCTACCAAGTACTTTTTGTTCTGTAATGAACAGCTGGGAGAACCCCTTGAGAACAGGAGGTCTGTGTAGACTACATTAGTATTTTAGTTGTAAGTGAAATACATCAGATAGGAGAGTTATCTGTGAACTTGTGCAGCAGATCACTGATTTAGTACCCTTTTAATTCTCTCCCACAGAACTGCCTATGTAAAAATGCATCTAGTTAAGAATGAACACCAGAGAAGTGCTGTGGTAGACATGGGCTTCATGTCATGTTGGCTTCCTGTTTAAAAAGCAGTAGGCTAGCAATTTTAAAGGGACAGCGACAAAGTGATGACCAGGTGCCAAGTGCCAGCTGTCCTTATTCACCAGATTGAACAAGAATTGGATAAAGAAGAAGAAGAGATGATGGTTTTCCTATGCCGAGACCTTGCTCCTGACTTGGCCACTGCCAACCTTAGAGAGCTCTTGGTGGCTTTGAGTGACAGGGAGAAATTGTCTTTTCTTGGCTTGTCTGAGCTGTTGTACAGAGTTAAGAGGTTTGACTTGCTGAGAAGGATCTTGAAGACTGAGAAAGAAACAGTAGAAGCTAACCTTGCTAGGAGCATCAGAATTGTCCCTGATTACAGGTAATACATCTATTTCAGATTTCAAGGCTACTCTGTTTCTCTGTTTTGTTCAATATGTGTGTGGGTTGTTGGGGGGGGGGGGAGGTGTTGTTTTTTGATTCTTTTTAAAATATGTCTTGAAGGTAAAAGAAAAGCAGAAAAGGACATCATATCTAGGGCTATAGTGAAAAGAATATGTCAAGTTTAGTCCTTAAAATAAGCCTTAGTAGCTTCTTACAAGTCAAGGCATTAAAAGCATCTATCTTTAAGGAATTTATATATGTTAATCAGTAAAACCAGTGATGTCTGTGCAGTTCTAGATCAGCAGATAGAAAGGATGCTTTAGAGGATCACCATTAGTTAGAGATGCTTTCTTTTCTAGTTTGCTTTGGGCACATGGCATTGTGGCACATAGCTTTTCTTGGGGGACCTGTGTCTTACTACTTTTCACTCTGTAGTTTTAAGATGCTTAAATTAAGAAGCTGCAGTTACTTTCTTTGAGAGACTTCAGAAAGAAATATATATAATCATAAGGAAGATTTATTTTCCTGTGTTAACTTCTCACTGAAATAGAAACCCTGTAACTATTGGATGAAAAAGTTAGAGGTGTGTTCTGTTGTCTCATTGTCTTCATCTCTATTGAAATATTAAGGAGACTTCTGTTTTCCTAGCAGTGGCTATTACACAGTCAGTCTGAGTAATGCAGGTGCTGATGAGCAAGAGTAGGTATTTTATAACTGGATTTTGGAGCAGGGTAGGTGCTTTTCCTGTTGTGCAATTGGGAATGGTACATTAAAACATGGGAAAAGTTGGGTAGTTGGGTACAGGTGGGATCTTGCTGGAAGCTAATCCTTTAGAAATGTCTCAACTTTATTTCAGGGTACTAATGGTAGAGATTAATGAGAATCTAGAAAAAGAAGAAGTGAATTCTCTTATTTTTCTACTCAGAGATTGTGCACCTCGTATGAAAATGGCAAAAGATAAGGTAATGTCTTTCTACTGGTCTTCTCTGGAGCAATGAGAGATTAAAGTAAAAAGGGAAGTAGCCAGACAGCAAAAGAGGGCAGACTACTGCAAGGGGTAGTGAGGCAGCAGTAGACAGAAGACAGGAAGTGGAGAAGGAGTAGTGGCTTCGGTTTCATTTTTGGTTTTTAGTTCAAAGAAAGAACCATGAGAAGCAGTAAGAGGGAACAGAGAAGACTTGCTGTAGTGAATGGTGTTAGCATGAACCTCACAGGCATAAAAAAAATCTTTCTTCAGTATTACTGATCTGAAAGTTCATTTATGAAAGATCTGAAACCAATAGTCATATGAAGTGTATTTTGAATTACAAGGTCACGTTTTATGTTTGTGCTCTGTTTCACTTACAGAAGAACAGTTTTATTTTAATTATGTCTTTCTCTGTACATTTGCATCCTGCATATTTGTTTTAAGTGCTCTGAGAAAGGAAAGACTCAGTAGAGAGGGTTCAGAAAACTTGACCACTGTGCATAGAAGACTGAAGATTTCTGTCTTCTTCCTTTGAGGTTTTTTCTTTTTCTCTCTTTAACCAAAGAAGGAGAGAGGCCCTGCAAATTCCCCAAAGCTTTTCTTACCTCTTGCTTTGTGGCATGTGAGGTGACATTCCCAGTGGCTGGCTTGGTAGCAACAAGAAAGTCCAAAACTTTCCTCAAAAAGTTTGATCTGTTTTTAAGAATATCACATCCTAGTTTTCATTACTCCTATGATAATACCAAGAATTCTTATACCTTCCAGATAACACTAACCTTAGTATTTCAGAAGGTAATGTCCCTAGTTCTTGAATATACAACCTTTATGACCTCCCCATGTTATTTTCTGGGTTGCTTTGTTACTTACTGATAGAGAACAAATTACTGATATGACAGTTTGGTTTTCTCTTGCTATTCTAGAGTTTTTTAGCTCTTGTGATTGACCTGGAGAAGCTAAATTTGGTGGCTCCTAATCAGCTGGATTTGATAGAAAATTGTTTTCGAAATATTCACAGGATAGACCTGATTAGGAAGATTGAGAAGTACAAACACAGAGGTAAGATGCTGTTCTTGCACTGGTTACTCTTGATAGCGAGTATCAGATGTGCTCTTACTGAAGATAAAATTATGAGTTATGTCAGAGTATTTGAATGCTTCACAGATTTTGGCTTTTAAAACAGTTGATACATGATGGTGCATTTCTCTGTGTGTTTCTGTTAAATTTTCAGCTTTAATGTCCTCTGTTCATTCTCCGCCGGTATACCTAAATGCACTTCAGGCATCTCTCCCTAATCTCAGTCTGATTGATCCTCCTTGTAATTCAGAGGTAAGTATACAGTAAATCAAACTATTTCTAAATATCAAACAATATTTCTAAATATTGTCAGACATTGAAAGGGGATTCATCTTTGCAGAGCCTAGGGAATGAGAGATGGCCAGTAACTAAAATATTACTTGGTTTATTTCTCTTATTCCTGTTATTTGCTGGGTTTAGGGTCTGATTTAAAGCTTCTGAGAAAGATCACCTTTAAGAGCATCTGTGAATTTTTCCCTATTAGTTGGGCATATAAAATCTGTATCTTGTAAGTTTTCTCCACTACTATGGGGAGTAAAAAGGTTTGGTTTGACTGTTCTTTGCAAAATGTATTATTCTCTGTACTTTTGGACTTTGCAGGGAAAGTAGCTTTTTAGCTTTGGAAGCTGAAGTTCATGGCTTTTTAAAGAGAGCTTTTCAGATTTTTTGTGTTTTGTTTTAATCTCATTTTAACAAAGATACCTCAGTATGTCAAGTCACCAAATCGTATTGCATGCAATATTATTTATACTTGGGTTAGGTCTGATATTGTAATAGAATGACCTTTATTAAAGTCTTTAGCCTTACTAAATTAATTTGATGACATTATTTCTGTCATGTGTTCAGTAAATATGTGTGTATAAAGCTTATGTACAAGACACCAGTGATGCAGTTTGTCTTTAACAAAGCCGCAACAGCTTTCTTTTCCACACTACTAATGGGAAAGGGTTTGCATTGACTTCCCAAATTATGGTAATATTGTTATAATAAAGTTCCTCCCTGCTGCTCTATAGGAAACAAAATTCACATCTTCAGAGGTTTTTTGTTTTGTTTTACTATATTAGGTATTAAGTTTTTCTTTGCTGTTCATGGTAAACTGGTAATTTTTTTCTGAGAAGGGGTTTGGTTTTTTTTGTTTGTTTGTGGTTTTGGCAGGGGGAGTTTTAACTGTTAAGTTTTAAATCTAATTAGCTGATAGATGTGACTCTAATATATGTAATCCTTCTATTGAGGAAGAAAAATACTATTGTGTTATATTTTGGAACACATGATTACTAATTCTTGAAGGAGAGAGGGAAAATACACCTTTTTCTTCATTTTAGATCCAGAATGTGAATAAAGAAAAACCACAAAATGGACAAAGTCTTAGTCTGGGTAAGAGCATTTTATCTGAGTTTTGATAATCTAAAAGAGCCAAACAATACATTTCATTGTATCAAAAGGACTGTCGTTTCATAGTTGTGTTTATGGCTAATCCAGTTGATATCACCAGGAGCAGGAGAAAGATCACCTTTAAGAGCATCTGTGAATTTTTCCCTATTAGTTGGGCATATAAAATCTGTATCTTGTAAGTTTTCTCCACTACTATGGGGAGTAAAAAGGTTTGGTTTGACTGTTCTTTGCAAAATGTATTATTCTCTGTACTTTTGGACTTTGCAGGGAAAGTAGCTTTTTAGCTTTGGAAGCTGAAGTTCATGGCTTTTTAAAGAGAGCTTTTCAGATTTTTTGTGTTTTGTTTTAATCTCATTTTAACAAAGATACCTCAGTATGTCAAGTCACCAAATCGTATTGCATGCAATATTATTTATACTTGGGTTAGGTCTGATATTGTAATAGAATGACCTTTATTAAAGTCTTTAGCCTTACTAAATTAATTTGATGACATTATTTCTGTCATGTGTTCAGTAAATATGTGTGTATAAAGCTTATGTACAAGACACCAGTGATGCAGTTTGTCTTTAACAAAGCCGCAACAGCTTTGTTTTCCACACTACTAATGGGAAAGGGTTTGCATTGACTTCCCAAATTATGGTAATATTGTTATAATAAAGTTCCTCCCTGCTGCTCTATAGGAAACAAAATTCACATCTTCAGAGGTTTTTTGTTTTGTTTTACTATATTAGGTATTAAGTTTTTCTTTGCTGTTTGTGGTAAACTGGTAATTTTTTTCTGAGAAGGGGTTTGGTTTTTTTGTTTGTTTGTGGTTTTGGCAGGGGGAGTTTTAACTGTTAAGTTTTAAATCTAATTAGCTGATAGATGTGACTCTAATATATGTAATCCTTCTATTGAGGAAGAAAAATACTATTGTGTTATATTTTGGAACACATGATTACTAATTCTTGAAGGAGAGAGGGAAAATACACCTTTTTCTTCATTTTAGATCCAGAATGTGAATAAAGAAAAACCACAAAATGGACAAAGTCTTAGTCTGGGTAAGAGCATTTTATCTGAGTTTTGATAATCTAAAAGAGCCAAACAATACATTTCATTGTATCAAAAGGACTGTCGTTTCATAGTTGTGTTTATGGCCAATCCAGTTGATATCACCAGGAGCAGAGAAGTATTTGGTACCTCTGAAAACTAAGCCTTGCCTTATTGTTTGCTCTTGTATTTGCTTTGCTTGTGCTGCCAGGTCTTAAAACTTTATTGAAATTGGTGTGGGCTTCCACTGTCACAATTTTTTAACAGAATAAATAGTTTATTAGTAAAATAATGGAAAAGATTGACTCGCCATCTCTGGAGGCCCATGTAGTGCAGCTGTGTCCATTAAGTCTTGAGCAGGAAGTTTTTGTGTCTGTTCACTGGTGGACTCTCCACCAGACCAGCCAGGAAGTTGTCCAGTGAGTACCAGGTTCTTACTTACGTATGTTGTGTTCTTTCTGGAAACCCAAAATAATTCTCAGATACGGTGATTTTTAAAGGAGTAGTTGGCTGAATTCTTTCAGTGTAGGAACGATTGTTTGTTTGTTTATTCTAGTCACAAGCAATGTAGAATGCAATCCAATTTGAGAGGTGAAAATTTTTGGTGTGTTTTTTTGGGGGTTGGTTTTTTTTCTTAACTTCAGTAGCATACATAGCAACTAAGAGGTCCAGATGAGTGTGAACTTAACTGGACTAGATTGGTTCCACTTAACTGATTGGATTTCAAAGAAATGTCACTGGTATCTACATACTGAGATTACTTCTGTATGTTTTAATTGCAGGAGAATCAGTCCACGTGTCCATTCAGGAATCGGGACCAGTGTCACATAAGGTGTGTGCTTGTGCATATGTATGCATGTAAATATAATAAAAACCTCTACAGTTTTTACCTTACTTTTCCTTGTGTTTCATTTTGAGATTTCCTTTAATTGCATGCAAACAGAAGGATTTGTACATCCATATCTTCCTCAGCCATAAACAGGTTCTATGAACTGCTTTTGCAGAATATACTTTTAATATAAAATAGAAGCAGCAGTATGCAAAATGCATGTATATATGATGTGCATACAGAACTTCTATATTTATTAGTGGAGGCTAAATCAAAACCTTTTGGAAGTCAGACCTCTTGTCATCTGCATTAGAAATGGAGGGGAGGCTGGAGAGGGGGCTTGTTGCTTTTACATTTGAAGACCTGTCCAGAGTTAAGGTTCAGTCTCAGACTTGCTTCTGTCTTTTCTGGTACAGTCTTAGTCTTTGTTTAAGGTTCATTGTGGTAGCAAGGTTGCATAGCACAAGGATGCAAAAATTAAGCCTGTACTAGAAATAGGGGGGGAAAAAATTAGGCAGTGTCTCTTGATTTTTTGTTTTGTTGTGTAGGTGAGACATATTACAAACCAGTAGATAGACTTCTGCTAGCTACTCTTATGGAAAAGCAACAGGATGTAATTTAATAGATCTGAGGTGGTTAAATTTGAGAAAAGAATGAAATCTGTAAGTTGAGAGAGTGATATTAACTTAGTATTTGTCCTTCACATTCTCAGGTGTCTGATGATCAGTACAGAATGCAAAGTCAACCTTTAGGAATATGCCTGATAATAGACTGTATTGGCAATGACACAGGTAAGTGTCTGGAATTTGAAGTTCCTTATCTTGTTAATCTCGGATAATTAGAACAATTCAATATAAAGAATATGATGTACATTTACCAGACAGACTAGGGTAATGTTGTCCTAGTCGGCTAGTCTATCAATTCTAGTAAGTTTTCTAAAGCAGAGAGTTGAAAGGCCCAACCTGAGGTTAAAGCCAACTTTCCTAACTATTGCAAACAATGTTTGGTTTTTGGCACAGAATCTCTGAATGAAAGAACTTAGAAGGGAATAGACTGAATTTTGGGAGGGAGAAAAAGGATATTCAGAGACCAACAGAATAATTAAGCTACAGTCATGCAGCAGGTTATTGGCAGAGATGGTAAAGATAGTGTTTCCCACCACTTAACAAAACCAAAATCAAAGCTGTTGCGGATTTGAAACATAATCATAGTGGACACCATAGATTTTGAATAGCTGAAGGCCTGTGGTCCTTTATTAATAATGCACCTAGGCTTCTGTTATATCTTGCACAGTTAAACTGAAACCGCCACCATAGCTTTATAGGGAAAGGAATTTTTCTTCTTTCCCTCTTGGTTTAGTTAAAAAAACCAAAAAAACCAGTTTGCATGTAGAACTCAAGGTAGTCAGTGCCATGGTTAAAATGTGGGTTTTTCCTGATTGCCTTTGTAGAATCCAAAAATTAGATTCTTGCATAAGCAAAGAAACCCCACTCTCTAATCATTGGAACACATGAGGCTAAAAACAAAAGCAAAGAGAGTAGTTGCAGTCAGTTCTGTAATAGACTAAGAGATGCAGGGGAAGGAGAGGGTTTGTGGGCATGTCTTTTCTCTTTCTCATCCAGCAGATGGGCCAAATTAAGTTATTGATGTAGTTGCTGAAGAGCAGTGGATGCAGAGCACAGGCACAGAAAATAAAATTTTGATTTTTGCTTGACAATAGTATTTTAGGTAAATGATGTAAAATAAGACACATAGTTTCCCATTAGGGTAACAGGAACTAGAACTGATTCACAATCCTGCCATGCATGGAGAAGAGGGACAAGGAAGGTATTTTACTGAGTTATGTCCAGCTGGGAAGCATCCTTGGGATCTCATTTCCGTCTGTCCTACCAAGTTCGTCAGTGATCCCTGGCGAAAAAAAAAAAGAACAAGGGTGCAGTTGCTGAATGTAGAAACTAAATTATTCAATCTAAAGCACTTCTTCACTAATACTCTCACAAAAAAAAAAAGGTGACTTTGCTCCAAGAGGAAAATTAAACAAAGACAGCCTGGCCAAGGACTGGGGCGGGGAGGGGGGGGGCTGTTGGTATCAAACATTCTACTCTGTCCTATTGCCTGCTTCTTTACTTTTTTTCTCTTTCATGGTAGCTTTAGTCAAGAAATGACCCTGTTGATGCAAGAAACTTACTATGAAGCCTTAATCTAGAAGGTAGCATGATAGTCTGCTCCAGTACCAAAATAATTACTTCATTACTTGGAGTTTTGTTTCTTAAAAGCAAATGCAAGAAGGATTGTTAGAGAAATTTCAGTGTGGAGAGCTAAAGAAAACACAAGGTGTGAAAATAGTCTTGTTAAAAAAATACCTTTTTACATTAAATTGTTTCTAATGGGAAATGAGCATGTGCTGACCTGATTTATTGAACAGGAGTATTTTACTATGCCAGGTCTCAGTTTTTTAAATGAAGCAGTAAGTATAAAAGCAGGTAAGGCACGTAAACTAGAGAAAACAGGAAGTAAAGAAGGAACTGCTATATCTGTTCATAGTCATAGATACGTAAATTTAGATCTGTTCTTCCCTAGAAGGCACAGACCTTTTGTGCAGGCAACATACTGTGCTGACCCCTTTGTCACAGCAATTACTACTAAATACAAAAATGTTCACAAAATAAATAAAAAAAATCAATGTATGTGCTTTTCATGAGCTCATATGGTCGTATCAGTACTTGTATGAGAACAGAAAGGGTAGATGTCATAGAGGAAGTCTGCTGATTGGAAAGGACAAAATAGGTTACACATTTAGCATCTGGCATGTCAGATGCACCTGCAAATCATGGCTCTGCTGCTGTTGTGCCAAAACCACCCAAAGTAAGTCTTAGTGTGACTCAGTCTCCATGCATGTGGTGCAGTGCTGAAGCAATTAAATCATATGTATGTCTCAGATGTTGATTGTCACCAGTGCATCATCAGCATTTTAACATGATAGAAAGCAAGATTTTCACTGAAATACATTACTCTGCTAGTGAGATTCAGGAGAGGCAGGACATACGGCATTGCTTAAAGGAGTTTGTTAAAAAGACATTCACTACTCTATAGAGTTGTTGTGCCATGCTACTTCTTAAGTCTGAAAATACCAAAGAAGGAGAAGATGGCAACAAGAACGTTAGGAATTGTATCTGTGGCGAGCATTACAGTCTGTAGCTATCCCAAGATTTAATCTGAGAAAGCTAAACCAGTAATAGATACTGTAGGATCAAGGATTACAATTGAAAATGCCCAGTGTAAACAATGTGAACTCATCAGATGCTGATAAAATTCAAACTGAAATGCGCCTTGTTGTTTTGTAAATGGAGTCTTGCTGTTTTGTAAGTAGCTGCTTTTGACTTTTCCATTTGGAAGCCAGTTTTTATCTTTACATTGTAAGCAATCAAGGGAAGAAAAGGGTAATTTTTTATGTAGAGTAGAAATGCTCAAAAGTCAGTGGAGGGTTGTTGGGAAATGATTACTATTGAAGAAACATGTTTTCTGATGTCAGGTTACAGCATGTAATGCTGTGTTTTGTCTTGCCGTAAAGTAAAATTGTTGTATCCAAAGGTTGCCATGTGTAATTTCTGATTTGTTGTTAAATTAAGGTATCAGCTCTAAGTTTGCTGGGTTTAATTTATTTTTAATTGTGACACTTAAGAGTGCATGTATGGTCTAAGGTGATGCCAAGTTCTGTATCTTTGTGTGTATGTGTACATGCTAGTGAGAGCAGTAAATTACAGGAAAAGTACTCTTGTTGCTGTAACTCTTGTTTTGCGTATGTACTACTGCCCTCTAATGGATTAAGTGATTCATCGAGTATATGACTGCTAAATGTTATTAATACTGAACCTTCCACCTGAATTTTGAGAGCACATTTTATTATCTAAGATAGAGGGGATTTTCCATTCTATTTCCAAATCAAAAAATGTCTGGAAGGTTTTGAAATTGTTTTACAAAATTTAATCAAACCAACAGAACTGGAATGAAACTCTGTAGTTCCTGTTTATCACCTCACTATAGTATAGAGTTTGTATCTACGCTCTATTTTGCTGAGGAAGGTTACAAATCCTGCTCCCTGTTTTCACCGTGGGCTTTTTGAGGAGAACAGTGTGGTAGTAGGACTCCTGCTTTGCTTCCAGTTACCTCTGAAATAGCCTCTGCTAATTAGGGGTTGTTAGACTTTTGAAGTCAAGGAACAGTCTAACTTCCTGTGTCTGTAAGGCATTTTACATAAACATGGCACTTGATATTTCCTGTCATATCAGAAACTGTGCATGGATGATGTATACGTGGTTTATACTAAAGATACAATGCTACAGGTATGAGTCATAGTGGTTCTCTGAACACTTAAAAAATACCTGTGGTTTTAGCCACCATGTATGTGGTTTCACTCCCATATTAACAAACATCTGAAGTAGTTATCAGAGCATAGCACATTTTCCTGCAGCACAGGTTAACACAAATACAGTAGAGTTAATGGCTAGCTACACTTTTAATTTCTAACACATTTGAAAAGGTTCATTGTTCAGCTTTTTTTTTTCCTCTGAAAATGCTATTCTGTCACAGTTAAGACTGCAGTGTCCATTCTCCACCTGGAACTCATTGCTTAAAAGCCCATTTTGAATAATAGGAGGCATAAATAACTGCAGTAGGTTCCTCTTTGATGAAAGGGAGTCCCTGTTTCCTCTGCAGTTCTGTGTATCTATAATAACCATTCAGAGTAACTGTGACAAGTTAAAAGGCAAAACATGTTTCCCATGCTATCCAGATCACTCCTTACCATTCCAAGAATGTTCTGAGTGAAGCATTTTCTACTGTTTCCTCTTACTTGATATTTTAAGTCCTAGGAACTTGGGATACTGGCTCTAAATGAAAGCATACAAGTGTCTGTAGAATTTGGAACAGATCACATGCCAAACAATAGTGGTTTTGCTGTCATGAAGTGCATAATTCATATTAAAGACTGTAAGTATGTAGTGTGCTGTGATCAACATCAAGTACTCCCGATTTTTTAATTATTGTGATAAAATAAACATCTTCTTTCCAATAGTGGAATACTATAAATACTGTAATTCAAGGTAGTTGAGATTGAGCCTTGATGTGCTGTGATTTAATTACCTCTTGCTTTTTTCAGATATGTTGGAAGAGACCTTCAGAGACTTAGGCTATGACGTTCGTTGTTACAGATATTTAAATATGAACACCATGAATCAAACATTGCTTGAAGTTGCAAGGATGCAAAAGCACAGAAATTGTGACAGCTTCATTTGCATATTGGTCAGCCGTGGAAGTCCTCAGAGCATCTTCTGTACAGACCATACTTTTTCTGGACTCCCTTTGGAACAAATAAAGAAATACTTTACAGCAGACTCATGTCCTGGACTCCTAGGAAAACCGAAGCTTTTTTTTATTCAGAGCTACATTGTGCCAGAAAATGATCAAGAATGTACTAGTCTGTTGGAAGTAGATGGGGATGATGAGAAAATAATTGCTAACGCAAAAATCCCTCAGAAAGTCACTATACCCCAAGTAGCAGACATCTTTTGGAGTCAGTGCAAGGTAGATGTGTCTACACTAGAAAAATCTCCCGGTTCATCCTCGTATTATCTGTGTTGTCTGGCTGAGCTACTCCGCAATCCTCATAAAAGGTAAATAAAAAAGGAGGAAAAAATAAACCTTTTCCTATGACAGCCTGCTGTCCTAGAGAATCAGAAACCTTGCGTTTCATCCTGTCTGGTCCTGAAAAGTGTCTTCATGCTGTGTCATAGGTTAAAAGGCAAGTATACCTGATCCTGGAACAATGGCACAGGAAGATAGCCCAAAGTAGGAATGAAGTTTCTGATTCTGGAGGGTAAAATTATGGCACTGGGGCTTGCAGAGTGAGAAGGGAAGAACTGGTCCTGGGCAATGTATGTCAGTGCTTTAGACAGGATTGGAAATCTCCCTTCTCCAGGATAACAAGGCACACACCAGGCTTCTGTGAAATTGAGGATTGCCTTTTATCATTAAGAAGTGCTCTGCTTGCAAGTCAATGCCCAAGATTGGGGAAAAGCAGTTGAGAGGGGAAGGATTTTGTCCTTTCTTTAGATCTCATTAACCCTCTGCTCAGGGAGCCACTAGATTGCCAGTCTGTAATCTTGAATCTAGGTGAACCTGCTTTAGAAGGAGGGTTGGACTAGATGATCTCCCAAAGCCCCTTCCAACCCTTGCTGTTCTGTGATTCTGTGAATTTAAACTATCAGAAAACTTCAGTCTATGTAAAGAGGTTATCAAAAGGAATCTGAGCAAAAATCAGATATGTTTGGATATATAGCTTACCAACAAAGGTTTTCTTTGTACAACTGATCTGGGGAAGCTAGCAGCTGTTTTTCAAGGTAGTTGCAGGGTTAACATTTAGTACCTTTTTACAAACCCTAAAACCTTGTAATGAAATCGCAGATCATCATGTCAGCATAATCAATATCACAGCAGTGATTTGGGTTATAACAGATTGTCTTCAAGGTGCATATTCAGCCTTGGGTTAAAAAATGAAATTTGAAAATTTCTCCTTGCTGATTAAGTTGTCTTCTCTCATGTGGATTCTTAAATGGTGTCTTGCTTCATTCTTTAATAGAAAGCTTTTATTTCTTTTGCTGCAGGAAACTCTCTATATTAGATATCCACACGGAACTGAACAGTAAAGTCTATGAATGGAATAAGACCGCTGACCCAAGCCAACAATACTCACTTCTGCTCCAGCACACACTGAGGAAGAAACTTTTTCTTTCTCCCACTTAACTGCTGTTGGAAAGGACATGTCTGAAGTGGCTAACGAGAAACACTTAACTATGATCCAGATAGTTTTGCACATACTTTATGCAGTTATTGTATGTATATCTAAAGTGCCTGTTGCTTCCAAACCCAGGGATTTAGAAGCATTTTGGTATATTAAGGCGCTAGACTTTATATTTTAATACAGAAGGCTCTGAAAGCTTGGATTAAGGATGGCAGATAGCGTATAGCACTGCAACAGATCTTACAACCAAGTACAACAGGTAAACGTGGTGGAAAGAGCTCTAAACTATATAGCTGTTGGGTTTTCCAGAGTTTTGTGTTTGTATTGTTTCCTGGGTTGTTTTTTAGTATACCTATTAGCAGTGCACTGATCTACCACCTTCTGTTGATGCTTAAGACAAATACAAGCCATTGCAAACCACTGAAATTGACTAGGTGCTTTCCCCAGCACCTAGTAATGGAAATTGTGTCAGGAAAGAATGCATACCCAGCACTGCCAGTTCTTCCTTAACAGTTCTGGCTTGCGTACCTCCACAGACTAGCAAAACAGGAGAGGGAGAGAGATGGGTCTTTTAAATAATTTGGATTCTATCTGCCTGATGCATTAGAGGTTGTGATTCACCCAGAACTTTGCATCATCAGTACTGTCCAGAGCACGCAAGGGTTATACATTAATAAATGAGAATCTGCCATGTTTTGGGCTATGTTCTGCATTGATGCAAAAATGAGTCTACACGTGGCAGGGCTTTACAGTAATCTACCACCTGGTTAAAAAAAGTGGGATTTTGGCAGATGTTTTGTGGAAGCTGAAACATGATTCACACTTGCTGCACCAGGCATAGTTGTAAAAGTACACTTTATCCTATTTGAACCTAAATGTTGTGTAGCAGCCACTGACTCTTAAGACTGGGTTAAATTAAACACCCCACTCCCATTGCTTTTGCTCTAGTTTCTTGAGCAAATACACTGCAAAAAGATTTTTTCATAGTGTAGCTGCATTTGATTTGTGCAAAGAGCAGATGTGCTTACATATACAACTTCACCAACAATGCTTTTTATTATAGACCAAACCTAACAGGCAGCTAGCCTATTGATACTATACATTGTATGCTATCAGTATACGTTAGTATATTAATAATAATGAGGGCTTGGCCAGTAAATTTACTCTGGTATCAGTGATTTTTTTTATTCCTCGATGCCTATGTTGTACTTCTTACATGTTGGCTTGACATCATTTTTATTAACTTCTTTTTGAAACCAGGCTTCTTAAGTTTAATTCAGAAAAAAAACCCAAATGTGTTTTTAAGTAGCTTCTATAATTGGAAGTAGAAATCACTCTTACTTGGCAAAGAGTAGATATCGAAGTCTAAAAAGTACGCAGGAGTCCTTTCTTGTTATGTCATGTAGACCCAGTCTCTTCTGGGCTTAAGAGGTTCCTAAACAGCTGATGGATGAGGATTGTTAAGAGTATACCAAGAGGAGAAACCCACTGAACAAGTTTTACCTTATAGTTTTCATCCATCTAAAATGTTAAGATAAAATACATATTTATTTATAGTAATGTACCATTTTGTATAATGTATAAAGTACATTTTATATTATTGTGATTAAATCTTCACTTGTTATCTTTTTTTAAATTTTGTATTGTTTCATTTGCATATAAACGCTAGAAAGTTACATACATGATTGTGATGAGAAGAAGTTTTTGCACAATTTAGGAAAATAATTCACCTGTAGTGCAAGCCTGTGCATTCCATACTTTTCCTCTTTCCACTTCATACACTATAGTGTTCTCTTTAATAAAAGTATGTGGAAAATTTTTAATAGCTGTGAAGTGGGAAATGCAACCCAAAATTTTATGTTAAACTATGGGTACATGTGTTGTGTTACTGTAATTTTATGTAGGAACAGGTGTAAGAGGGAGAATAGAAAATAATATTTTGCAAAATTCAGACATTCTCTAAAAGCTTGTTCTCTGCAAGCATTAAAAATACTAAATCCAATTTCATGATGTTCTAGCTGTGGAAATAAATGCATCATAGCAGGGCAGGGAGAGGGGGCAGGTCTTTCTTTCAGTTTACTGTTTTCTAAAAAAGTGCTATATTGCTTCTGGCTTTAAAAGTAGTCTGTGCCGTAAAATTACGTTCATATGTATTCCACACACTCAAGCAGAGAATTTATTGCACTGCATCAACAGAAGGGTCTGTATTATATGTGATAGGTAATAAAAAATAGCATTAATTTCTAACCCTGAATATTTAAGAACTGACTATCTTACAGTAAAATAAAGTGCAAGTGTAATTTTGAAACTCCCTTGCTCATGATTCATGGGTAAGAGAAGGATTATAAAATGACAGATATGGAATCTTAGAAGTTACTTCCTGTAGTGGCTGGCAAGTGAAGCAAATGGTGTGAAACAAATGTTTTTCTGTGGTTGTAGAAATCAGATATGCTTCCTAGTTACTATATATATGTATGTGATGTTAATACATGTGATTTCTTTCACAAATTAACTTAGCTTTTTCCCATTTCCCTTACTAGCTTTTGCATGTGATGAGCACTTCTGCTGCCTTATAGACAACCAAAAGCAGGGATAATGGAACCAAGAGGAGGCAGAGAGATGAGGGAAAGAAATACGGAAATGTCAAGCAGGAACAAGAAGGGGAATGATAGGGAGAACCAAGAGAAGAACAAGTAGGGAAAAGAAGATTTGGAGGAGAAATACAGCATCAATATTGGAAGGAGAAAGAAGAAAACGGGAGAAAAGGGAGAAGCGAAGTAAGAATAATAGTGGCTGTTCTTACAGGATCTAATGATGTGGTGGGGTTTTGTGGGTTGGTTGTTTTGGGGTTTTTTGAGTGATGCTAAATAGAACTATTTACTTAAAGTATTAGCAATAGGATATATTCTGTTTCTGATAGTTTTGTGACAGTGTAGGTTTGGGGGTTATGAAGTGTACACATTCTTCACCTTAGTGCATGACACAGTAAGTAAAGTCCATATCCCCTTCCTTAAGAAATCACAAAGAAACACTTTTGAAAACTGTAGAGGCTCCTGTAAATAACACTTGCAATGAAAAAGGAAGGGAGTCTCTGTGTCTGGCTGCTTTGGTTGGAAGTGATCACAGCCCTCTAATGACCAAAGAGTTGTGGGGACATATAATGTATTGTGCAGCATTTGTGGTTGTCAGATACTGATTTTTCTACACTGACATCTTGACCCTCAGTAGCTTCTTAAACCACAGCAGTATTCATTCTGTAATCATTAAGTGGTAAGCAGTATTTATTGCTTTGGCACCTCTTTCAAGAGTGGCATGTGGGTAGACTGATTCCCTCTACTCGCTGCATAGTGAAAAGTAGCACTGAAGTCATTATTTAACACACAGGAATTTTGCGATGCCAGAAGTTGTCTGCCACTTCTCTCATAGCGTTTTGTGTCCCTCCGTACACGTGATAGGGACTGTCTGTTCCTGCTGTACTGTGCACCTAAAATTTGAGTCTGGAAAGTGACTGGATGCAGGGCCTGAATTGCATCAGGTTGTACATGTATTGCAGATAGAGTGGTTAAATGGTATCAAACTTGCATTCAGTAGCCAAAAGAAAAGGGGGAAAAGAATAAATTCTGGATCTATTGTGAGTTTAGGGTGTTAGCACAGGAACATAAAAAGTGACATGCTGGTGAAACTTTATGGTCGCACACCACCAAAATGTCTAGTTTTCAGAACCTGCTGTTGAACAAGATAAACCAAGCCACTCCTCTGTTCCTGCATTGTCAGTCTGGAACAGGGCTGTCAGACTCACAGCTCCACAGCACTGAATTTCAGTTTTGCTTTCTGGTAACTGAACTAAACATCTGTTGTACTTCTGTATGTACTGTATATATGGAAGAAGGAAAAGAGAATTGGCAGAATATAGATGATGCCTTTCAGTGGCTCAGAAGGTGTACCCATGAGGCAGGAGATTCTGTGGTGGTTTGCACCAGGCTTACATTGCATTTTCCTCAGCCACCTACATTGACGTGCCTGAGCCATAAACCCAGTTTACTTTGCACTATTACATACTGGTGTCTTAGAATGGTTGCCAACTCGTTATCCAGAAAAGAAGTTATGTTCAAGAGGAAGTCATGGTACTAACAGTTGTAGATGGAGCATGCTGTATGACCGATCTCCCCTTTCAGCTGTTATAGATACCTGAGCCAGAGAAGCTTTTTATGACAGTTTCTGAGAATTCTTTTCTGATACCTGGAGTTTTACACTTCTGACATGCAGGATGATGTTGCTGAGAAGAAACTGCCATCTCTGTGGATGATCTGCTGTGTATCTGACTCCGTTCCGTTTAAACTGTATCTCCTGTACTGAATTATTTGACAGCTTTTCTGTGGCTGTTTTGGAGACTTTTTTTCACCTTCTGTATTAGAATCAGTAAGACACTGCAAGTCTTGTAGGAATTTTGGTTTTGTGAATTGTGCCTTTCTGTAACATGCCGTATTTTCAAATCTGTGTTACTCTGATCATGTATTTTCACGTTTTGTAGAAACCATGATAAGAAACGTGACTTGAATTGGTGCCATTACTAAAATAGCATCATGATTTCACAAAATTGGTGCTGTTACTACGAATACTCGATTACTATTACTACTAAATTATAAATGCTGGATTTCAAGCAGATTTTCTGAAGAAAATACCTGCATGCAGTCAGACTGATTGACCATCTCCCTCCAGACCACAGAATAAATAACTTGAAATCATTGGTCGACTAATCTTGTAGACCTTGTTAAATTTGGCTGTGAAGTTCTACAGCCATACTAAAACTGAGCTGACTGAACAAAGAACAGCGAGTCTTCGTTTCAAGAGGTAACTTGGCCGTTGTTTCTGTGTTGGGACAGCAGCTCTTCGGGGTGAGCAAGGAGACACTTCCCATTCTGGCTCCATTGATCTGGGGAGGGTAGGGGGGGATACAGGTATGACTGGAGATGCTGAAAGCCCCGAGGAGCCTTCATGCGCCAGGGCCTGCTCACCTTCCTCCTCCTCCCCTTACTGCAGCAGGGGTGGAGGGGACAGACTGGCATAAAAATGGTAGTGAAGCCCTCTCCCCCAAGCACTACTCCCGAGCTTCTTGTCAGTGGGGAAAAAAAAAAAACCGCCAAAAGCACTTGGGGCTTTTTTGCGATGTTGAATCAGAGAATGCTTTGGGTTGGAAGGGACCTCCAGAGGTCACCTATGTAGCCTGCTTTAACACGGCCTGAGAGCAAAAGCGAAAAGTTACTGGTCACTTCCTGTATTTCGTCCTGGAAGCACTCTCGGTTGCTTGTTTCTGATTACCTCGCGAAGTTCCTCGGCCGCGGGGACGGGCAGGGGGCTGACAAGCCCCAGGCCGAGTGCTGGGTGGGCCCCCGCTCGGCCGCAGGGGAAGGGC